CTACCGGAGCGCGGTAGGGAGCGGGTTGTGGCCAGAGCGCCCTGTGCGTGGCGGCCCCGGCGCTTCCTACCTTCTTCTGCATGCAGTCTTCAGCCACCGAGTCGCAGCACTGGGCAAACATCTCAGCAGCGTCTTCTGCTAGAGGGAAAATTTCCTCAAATGAAGCACTTGGCGTCTTCTGAGCAAGCGTTGTTAGGTAGCTAGATGGACACAGAGCGTAAAAGGGACTTAGCAACATCACCTCTTCGTTCCCCTCACTAAAGCCTCAGCTCTATAAGATCCCATCGGTTTGTTGTATGGTCGCAGACCCGGACAGAAATCGAGCGTTCTCTCTCATTGCAGCTTTGAGGGTTCCCACTTATTTTTGCCAAGCTGTGAAAGGCCACTGAAGTTGTATGTGCTCATCTTCACCCCCCAGGTGAAATGTCCCTCACGGGAAACCCCCTGCAGCTGGGGACTGCACGTTCAATCAGGAGAGCGGGTGCCGGTCTGACGGGAGCCAAAGTGTAGGAAGTACCACGGCCCCCTCGTACCTGAACTTCATCTTGTCTTTGCCGTATGCCGTGAAGCGTGAGCAAGCCCTGTTCGACAGCAGAGTGAGCAGGGAGAGGGTTTTTCTCTGCAGTTTCTGGAAGGGAAAGCAGAATATGTGTGTGCGGTGCTGGCAGCGGTGTTGCAAGTCGCACAGGGCATTGCCATGATTTTGACCAAAAAACCACCCAAAGCATCAAGGCCTTTTGGTCAAAATCATGTGGGCTCTGCAGCCGGTGGTGGCCGGGATGAGGGGGCTCACCTCTTTCAGGAAGCAGGTGGTGGGCGCTGGGGACATGCAGCATGTGGAGACCATGGAGAGGAAGCTCCTGGCGGAGCCCAGGAGCACGGGCAGCGGCGCCTGGCTGTAGTCGCTGGCGAACTCGTAGAGAAACCTGCGGGAGAGGTGGACTGCCTTGGAGCGCTCCGCTCCCAGCCATGTGGGGTTTTGATGCGCATTAGACGCGCGCGAGGGGTGTCCCTGCTCTGCAGGGATCTCCTGGGGATCATTGCACCAAGCAGCCGAGTGACGTGCTGCTGCCCAGCGGGGTTGTTTTGCGCTAAGCCCTGCGCCTCACCAAGCAGCAGAGTGACTTCCAGGAAGGCGCCGGGGCCGCTTGGCCTCGCGCTCACCTGTCGGCAAAGCCCTTGGGGTCCTTGGCGAAGTCGGCGCAGAGCTCACTTCACCGACAGCGCCGACGACTGTGGGGTGCAGAGCGAAGGGCAGTGAGAGAGGGGCTCCAGGAGAAAGTTACCTGCCCAAGGCGGGAAGCTCCTTGCCCACATGAAATGTGTTTCCTCAGGGCTTCCTCGACCTACCCCGTCGTCGTAGCACGAGGGGTCGGCACTCTCGCTGCAGCAGGTCTCGGCCAGCGAGACGATTTCGTGCACCAGGTGGCTGATCTCCTCGAAGGTGGCGTTGGAGAACTTCTTGCTGTTCATGATAATGGTGCTGGGAGCAAACAGAAGAGCAGGGACCCATGGGATTGTTTTTCAGGGGGGAAAACATTTGTTTCTTTAAAAAAAAAAACAGAAAATCATATCAACATCAATCTGCCATAGCGCAATTTGGAAATGCGGCCTGGCCAAACCCTTAGCTTTGGCCGAACCCCAAAATTTTTGTGCGCTGGCAGTTGGGGTGGGCACGTGTGTGGTGATGCTCGAGTTCAGGGGAGGCCTGTGGGAATACGTACAGGGCTCGGAAGTCCTCCTTGCCCATGGTCCTGTACTCCTGGCACACTTTGTCCCGGACGTAGTCCTTGCCTGTAAGCCCGGAGAAAGGAGGGTTCACGGTCAGGCCCGCGGGCGCAGCGGGGCCGCAGTTTGCGCTGCCTCCCGCCCCGCGGTGGCTGCAAGGAGTTGGGTTGTTAAACTCCCCTAAGGTTGTTGCAACGGGTACCAGGGCTGCAGGGCAGCTCGGGGGGGAAGAGTTACACGACTGGAGAGGGGTTGAAAGCCCCACAGGAGGATTTGAGCTCCTAAAGGCTCAGCCATTCCCTAAGAATAAGTCATTTTGGGTTTAGACACATTAGTTTTGTTTTAGTTCTCGGCTTCTCATTCCAGCCCTTGCTGCTGTCCCTGGAAGGCGGCTGCCAGCAGAGGATGCTCTTGTGCAAGGCTGGGAAGTGGCTGCAGTGCCGCAACTCTCGCGCTCTACTCGGATATTCCTACCTGATGGGCAGCGAGGAAACCTGGGAGAGAAACCAGGCAAACTGCCAAGGGCACGAGCCCCTCGTCCAACCTACTGCCACTTTTTAGCGTCCGAAACAGAGACAGCAAAGATATCGCTGATGACTGTTTTCCCCCCAGAACGGTATTGATTCTGTCGCAAACTGCCTGGGGTAGACTTTGCTCCGGGCAGGGTAAACACAGATACGGTGCTGGCGTCTCTCCTGTAACTTTGACACGATCTTTCCAGGGAGGTTTAGACAGGGCATGGCATCCGCAGGGAGGCCGTGATGCCGTTTCCGAGAAGAGGCTGGTGGCAGGGCCAGCGCTAGGGCTGGGGCCAGGGCTCGCCCGGCCCGTGGGGACGCAGCAGCGGGGCTCTGGAGGAGCGTAGGGCATCCAAAGCCATGCAAAGAGCAGAGCTGGATCCAGGGGAAGGTGGGATTGGTTTGGGCCTTAGTTTGTTTTTTCACAGCAGCTTCTGCTGTGCAAAATGCCTCTCTGAAGCGAAGGGGAGGCAGCAGCGCAGCCAAGGCACCCTTGGCACCTTGTCCTGCAGGGCTGGTTTGGGTTTTATTTTTGTATTTGCAAGCGGATCCCTGGAATAATGGGGAGCCTATGTTTGTGCTTAGCGGGAGAAGCATCTGCCAGTCCCAGACAAGTGAAAATTGGCTCCGCTTATTGTTATTTGCAGAAACGAATCCCCAAGCAGTGGCCCTTGACGGAGCTGTTGGGGAAAGTCTGCTGAGTGTGAGGAAGCGCCGCAGTGCCCATTGCCCAGCTCCCACCTGAGGACTTTCCTTGGTGCAGCGGAGTTGCAAGGGGCAGCAGAGCGCCGCAGCGTCCCTGGAAAACTTCCCGTGGGAGCCTCCTCCCTCGCTCCCTCCACTGACCAGACCCGAGGGGCAAACCCCTGATTTTTGATGCTTCTGAGCTTGGCGCTGCAACGCGAGAAACGCCCTCACCTCGGTGCTCGGCTCGCGCCCAGGCCAGCAGCAGCAGCAGTAGCACCCTGACTCCCTTCATGTTGCGCTCGGGCCTGGCCACGACGTCCCGACGGCTCCCGCTCCGGCTCTGTCCCTTGCCGGCTGAACGGCGCGGGGGCTGCTGCTTATAGCGAGGGGCCGCGCGGCCGGTGAATGATTAATGCTGCCCGAGGGGCAGCCGGCACCCTTGGCCTGACAGGGACAGCGCGGCCCCCCAGCAAAGGCAAACACGCCGCGGGCTGCCGGTGCCCTGGGCTGCACGGTTTTAATGATTAACCCCAGGAAATAGGGGCTGCGGGGACAAAAAAATAGGTACATGGGGAAAAACATGGGTATTTGTGGAAAACCAGGTGCTGTGGGATCTTAGGTGTCTTTCTTTTTAGGTGTGACTTAATTATTGGTGTTACATGAATGACAAATAGGCTGGCCACAGGGAAGTGCGCGGCATGCATCACGTGAGTGTGAAGCAGCAGTGCTGCAAAGCATTTTTATTTTATTTTTTTTTCAGATCTGCAGTTCTTAAAGTGTAACAGTGCGGTGAAATATGATGCATCTTTGACAGTCAGGAGCCTTCACAGGTGCTGGAGAAGAGCAGACTACTTGGTTAGCAGGTATTTGTGGCATAAAACCAGACAACGGGTTGCTTAAGTATAAACACAGATTTTTTTTTTTTGTGTGTGTGTGTTTTTTCTCTGCTGTCTGAGTGTCCTCCACAATTGGAGCTGTGGAGCACAGCGGTGCGCTGCACAGTCACCATCCATGCGGGCTATTCTTAGCAGAAATGCAGGTATTCGCTAAAACACTTTCAGGATAATTGCTCATAAAATCATCGGAGACCAAGGGGAGGCTGAGCAGCTTATCCAATGAAATGGGATGTGAAATGCGAGGAGAAAAACTGCCCCCTAACTAAACCGCTCTGCGGCCTCTCCTCTCTCCCCTGCTTCAGGGTCATGGCCGAGAGCGGAGGGTGGCGCTGCGGGCTGCAACCCAGGGCTCTCCCGCTTCCCTACGTCCTGCTTGTCGGGACTGTTTGCTTTCCCTGAGGTTTTGCCGGGATCGTTGGCCGTCCCCGCAGTTCTTCCAAGCCGCTTGGCCCATGGAGCACTCCCCGGGTGTCCCGCGCGCACACAGGTCGGCGCGTCCCGCCTGCCCTGCCGCCCCTTGGGAGCGCGTTCCCGTTAGAGGGAGCAGGAAGATGACAAGCTGCCAAGGGCAACCTGTTTGGTGATGAAGAGCAATTCCAGCTGCCAACCTCCAGCCCTTCCTCGGAGTGTCAAGGGCACCTCATCAGGAAGAACCTGCAGGCTGACGATCTGGAAGAAAGAAGCCTGGCTGGCTCTTGCCCGCCTGCAGCTGTAAACCCCCAGCACTGCTCACTCAAGGACGTGGGTTTGTGCCCAGCAGCTCACACAAAGCACTCTGCCCGCCTTCCTCTTTCATTATATGGAAAAATAATTCATTTCCCCTTCCCTGTCATTTTTTAAGCTCCGCTTGTGCCCCATTCAAACATAACTCCAGAAAGCACCTTGGCCCTTTGAAATTTAACCCTCACAGTAATTTTCTTGTTCCCTGAAATGAGAGCTCCTGCACCGAGTCTGGCCTTGCAGGGAGGCGGCACCAGAGCTGGCAGGCACGGCCCTGGCACGCTGTCCAAGCCCAAAGACTGGGAAACTCCCAGCTGTGCCACACTCGCTTGAAAGGCGCTCCCAGAAGGCAAACAGTGCTGCGGAGCCACCCCACAAATTCTCCCCTTTGCCTTTTTTTTAGGTGTGCGTGTCCCAAACTCGAACGTTTTCTCTGAGGAGTGTTTTCGAGCTCTACACTGTTCCGTAGATGAAGCTTTTTACCCCCTCTTACCCTCCAAGCCCTCTTCTAGCTGTTCAAAGCAGTACCTAAACATCTCTCTGCTTTCTATTTTTTTTTTTTTAGAAACTCCATTTTTTTCCTGGATATACCCACATGGCCCAAAAAGGTAAAGAGCAGCTCATCATTTACCCTGGCTACACATGTGCACAGCGAGTGATGAGGGGAAAAAAAAACTCCAAATCTTCTCAGTGTGCATCCAACAAAAAACCTAACGTGCTGCCTGGATCCAGGGACATGAGGAGGAGACATCGCTGCAAGTGTGGTCAGAAAGCTCCAACACTGGCCTGAGACATTAGTGGGATCACCAGAAAGATGTAAAATGGGAACAAGATGCCCCCTTGACTCTCTGTGGCACCTGGATAACTAGTGGACACCTATTCTCCCCCCCAAACACCCAGTATCTATAGAAATAAAAATGAGGCTGGCCAATCAAGGTGACTTTGAGTAAAGTCAAAGCACAATAGATCTCAGTTCCATAAACTGCCTTTCTCACATGGGTTTTAAAAGGAAGGGGGTGATTTTTAGCACTGTGGTTTGTTGGCTAGTGTTTGTTTTGATGCCTTTTTAGAATCAATTTAGCATTTTTAATTTATATTCATAAAAATCTGACATTAGGTAAGCGGCTCCCGAGCTCTCATGGAAAGGAGAAGAAAATAGTCATGTATTCACGCAAAATAGCTGTGTATTCAATAAAGTCATGTAGTCAATAGAGAACTGTTTTGGACGTGTGTGTGAAATGAAAATGGGTAGAAATTTCCCGGATTTCTTATTCTCCACTAAGAAACAGCATGATTTACAAAAAAACACGTGTTGAGAGGGTCAGGTCGCCGCTGAGCACAGCTGTAAACGTGGAGCAGTTGGTCCTCCAGCACAGAGCACACCTGGTCGGAGCCAGGTGCCTTTTCCGAACACTTCTTGCCCACTTTCTTATGTGACCACACGCTGCAGAAATCATATTACGCAGCGGTTTGACGGCAGAGAGTCTGAGACCAACTGTAGCAAGGGATTCAACTCATACTGATGCTTTGGTATCAGATATTGGAGCTTTAGAGCGTCCTAACACTAGTCTTTTACAGTATAAGAAGCACTAGTTCTGTGCAGTCCTTTAACTTTGGCCTTTTTTAAACAAGTCGGAGTTCTTACTATCACCTCTTTCCATCAAAAACAGGAATGAAAACGTACAAAACATGGCCAAAACAGCTTAGCGGCATGTCAGGGATGGGGAAAAGGCAGGCGAAAATTGCTCAAGTGACCAGAGCAGAAGACACCCCTCCAACAGCCCCGATGTTGGAGGCCAACGGTGCCTTTCTGGAGGCTATGCATCGGCGCGGGCATGCAAGGATGGGCCCTGGTCCTGCAACGTGCTTGCCCTGGACCCTGGCTATAGGCAGGGGGTATGATGGGCACGCACACAGTGCTGGGGGCCCACCGGCGCCCGCGTCACTCCCGGCGCCCGGAACGCCCGGCTCGGGCCCGCATCACAGCACAGCGCTCCGGCGTTGCTGTGGGGCCCGCTGACACGCC